CGCTCTCCCTTTGGTCTTTTTCTAGGGACCCCTTGCAGGTGCCTGGCTCCACGGTGGCTCCGTTAGCTGTCACCGGGGGAAGTCCCAAATATACAAATTCCACTAGTAGAAAACACCATCAAAGATTGCCAGAACAAGATCCAAATCATTGACCAGATATAACACATAACAGGAACTCGCTTACCTGACCTCCCGGAGATCCTCCTGCTTGACCTCTGGTCGGAGCCAATGGTCAATAACACAACAAGGTTTTTAATTAATACTCTCCTTGCCATTGCTAGACTTGCTATAGCTCAGAAATGGAAAGATAAAAAACCCCTACCTTGATTTCTTGGAAAAACAAGATTTGGGAACATTTTCTATTGGGGAAAATGGCCTCACAGAATGCGGCCCTCACCTCGGGCAGTAGTTTACGTAAATTCCAAGCAAGACTGTTCCCTGGAAGGCCAGATCCTGAAGCTGAAGCTCAAATACTTTGGCCACCAAATGAGAAGGGAGCACTCACTGGAGAAGACCCTGAGGCTCGGAAAGACTGGAGGTCAAAGAAGACGGGGACGGCAAAGGATGAGATGGTTAGACAGTGTCATAGATGCAACGAACATGAAATTGAGCCAACTTCAGAGGACAGCAGAAGACAGGAGGGCCTGGCGGGACTTGGTCCATGGGGTCGCAAAGAGTCGGACTCGACTGTGAGACTGAACAACAACAACAACAAGAACTTTGTTCCTAATAATCGTCATTACCAGAAACTCTTATTCTTTTGAACTATCTAAAATTGTGTTTGTTTCTCAGTTACTGTATAGATCGTCACTTCTATACTGTTAGACATGAAGTACTATCAACTAATGCAGTTTACAGTTTGTGTTAAATGTTATATTTTCAAAAAATTATAAATAAAGTCTTTTAAAAAAAAGATTGCTAAAACAGTATATTAAGCCTATGATTGGCTTCTTACACTATAAACCTTGTGGTCTGTTGAAATTGCTGAAATCAGGTTCCACTTACACAGCCGGCGAACTGAAGAAGTCGAAGGAAACGCACATCTTCCAAGTATCTAGAAGGGGCGTCTTTGCAAAGGCTGTCTGGAAAATGTTTTGACTATGTGGACTCCTCCTATCAAGTTACACTTAGAGGGAACACTGGTTACAGTATGCATTCATGTTGTTGTGACACCACCAACTTTATAATTGTTGAATATATTGTTTTGGCAATCTTCGATGGTGTTTTCTACTAGTGGAATTTGTCTGTTTGGGACTCCTGTGACATTAGTCTTTTCCCCTTGTTGTTTGGAGCCACCAGGAGAAGGGCCTTCTCAGTTGCGGCCCCTGCCTTGTGGAACGCACTCTCAGGTGACACCTGTGCCGTGCCAGACTTGTTTCGTTTCCACAGGGCATGCAAGGCCGCATTGTTCAAGTTGGCCTTTGGAGGATAATCTCCACGTCTGGGTTGTTTCTGTTAGCGTTATGGTGCTAGCCACATATTTTAATACATTTTAATGTTAATATTTTAAATTTGTTATCTGTCTTGATGCTGTTTTTACCTTATTTCTGTGGTTTTAGTGTCGTAAGTTGCCTTTTAGGTGAGCAGTGATTTTTTTTTTTAATTGCGTATGATAAGGCCGGTTGATTTATATTTGGCGTCACGATGGATTTATTTATATTGTTCATTTATGTGTTCTTTCTTTCTTTATTTATTAAAAACAATTTTATTAGGATATATCAATAAGTCATATTGTATATCACCTTACACATTATCATATATCCCTTTCTCCTGATAACCCCCCCCCTTCTGACTTCCCGCAGGGGGAAAAAAGCATAATCCCCTCACTGACTCGCCCGCTTCTCCCAACAGAGCCGGAGGAAGAAATCATCGCCGAAGACTATGACGACGACCACGTGGATTACGAAGCCACGAGGATCGAGAACCTGCCACCGAACTGGTACAAAGTCATCGACCCCATCTGGTAAGGCCATGAAGCAGCAGCCTGGAGTTTCCTCCCCAAACCTGTGGGAGCTCTTGATGGCCGCAGATGCCGGCCCCGGCGACGAATGAAACCTTCCCTCGTCTTTCCCTGTAGCGGCTTCCCTTACTACTGGAACATCGAGTCCGATCTGGTCTCCTGGCTCTCGCCCAACGACCCCAACTCCGTGATCACGAAAGCAGCCAAGAAGCTGAAGAGCAGCTTTGGTGAGATTGGCTGTGGGTGGCTTGTGCGGGCTCTCGCTGCAAAGTTGGCAACCGGGGCTCTCGGAGAAGGGGGCAAGGTGGGGATCTAGGCGTCCAGAAGGGATAGAAGGTGTGCTTGTCATTGGTTTGGGTAAAGGTAAAGGTTCCCTTGCTCGAAAGCCAGTTGAATCCGACTCTAGGGTTGCGGTGCTCATCTCCGTTTCAAAGCCGAAGAGCCAGCGCTGTCCGAAGACGTTTCCGTGGTCATGTGGCCGGCATGACTAGACACCAAGGCGCACGGAACGCTGTTACCTTCCCACCGAACTGGTACCTATTTATCTACTTGCAATTTCTTGCTTTCGAACTGCTTGGTTGGCAGGAGCTGGGGCCAGAGACGGGAGCTCACTCCGTCATGCGGCGCACTCGGGTCTCAAACTGCTGAACTACCGACCTTCCGCAGCCTGCAGTTCAGCCTTTTAACCACTTGAGCCACCGCAGCTCAAGCATTGGTTTGGTACCTGGCAGTAATGCACATCCTCAGATTATTAAGCATGGTGATTGCCATGAAGGGGGTGCCAAAGAAGGTGGGGGTGAGTAGCGGTTCAAGCACACGCCGCTGTCCCCGACTCATTGAGCCAACTGGCTGTGGCAAGGCCTTCATCAGCCTGCCACCTTTGCTTTTAATAAGAAACTAACGACCGTCAACTGCCGCTGCTTTCAGAAGAAGAGGATTAGATTCACGGAGGGCAAGTCTATCAGTAGTTACTAGCAGTGTTCCCTCTAAGCTGAGTTAGTGTGAGCTAGCTCACAGGTTTTTAGCCTTTTTAGCTAGCTCACACATTTTTGTCTTAGCTCAGGAAGGGACGGCTCCAGAGCAAACTAATTTCTGCAGTGGCCAAATCGCTCGCTCACAAAGTAGAATTTTTGCTCACAAGACTCCACAGCTTAGAGGGAACATTGGTTACTAGCCATGGTGACTGAGGGGAGCCTCTACATTTAGAGGTACTAAGCCTCCGAATCACAAAGCCAGGAGGCAACATCAGGGGAAGGCCTGGGCCACTATGCCAACCAAAGGAACTGGTTGACCATTGCGTGTGGCAGGATGCTGGACTAGATGGACTGATCCGGGAGGGCTCTTC